CCCCAGCCACTGCCTTCTTGGAGCTTATTATCCTCCAGGGAGGGGACAGACAAAAAAAGAAAACAAAAAATTAACATGTAATTAACAATCATGATAAGATTTGAATATCATCATCATTTCCTGGTGGGCACCACATGAACAAAAAAATGTTCATTTTTCATGGAGCTATACTTTTATCTGTTTGACACATTACTCATCCCTCCTACTTTCTGTTCCTCCTAGTAATAAATCTCAGCTGGTCAAACCAAAGTAAGACATGTTCAAGTTATCAACTGTCTTATACACTGGCTGAAAGTCCACCTGCCTGCAAATGTCTGGAGAATAAGCCTTCCAACTTGAAAACCGGATAATGGTTTTAAAAGATATATTTTCTAGGCACTAGGTTTAATAGAACAATGTTTTGGCAGAGCTTGCTAAAAGGGTAGGCAATTATTAACAAAGGATACCACAACCAAAAAATACTTTAAAATTCCTCCATCATATATTTTTTAAAAGGGACACATGGATTATAAAATATAGCTTTCACTAATGCTAATATTTTACTACTAAAACATTATTTTGTATAGATTCTTACAAAGTAGTCTTTTAGTGACTTGTTAATATCATTACAGTTTCAATAAATATTAACATTAGAAAAATAGTCTTAAGTTTAAAATGTGTTAAGAACCCTTAAGGGAAAAAAATTTACAGTATACATCGAATGCTTACTAACAATTCACTTTATGTGAGTTTTATTAAATCTTCACAAGAATGATGTCAAAGAGGTATTATCATCTTTGTCTTACAGATGGCAATAGAGGCTTACATGAAGTAACCTGACCCAAGGCAATTGTGTGATCTTTCAGAATTATTCCATCTCTGGGGTGGTGCCTAGTCAATGATATTTAGGGAATGGCCTATCATCACACTGAAATAAAGGGTAATGGCAGGGAACAGCAATATTGGACTACAGGGAATTCGCTTAGACATGCTTCATGATAAGCATGTCCGTGGACATTAAGTTCCTGTGATGGGCTGAATCGTATCCCCTCAAAATGCATATGCTGAAGCCCTCATCCCCAGCACTCCGGACTGCAACTGTATTTGAAGACAGGGTCTTTACAGAGGGAATTAAGTTAAAATGAGTTCCTTAGAGTGGGCTCTAATCCCGTATGACTGGAATCACTATAAGTTATGAGGAGGAAATCTGGACATATACAGTTACAGAAGGAAGACCAAGGGAAGGCACAGGGGGCAGGTGGCCATTTACAACCCAAGAAAAGTGGCCTCAGAAGAAACCAACCCCACGAACACCTGACCTCGGACTTCTGGCTTCCAGAACTGTGAGAAAATAAAGTTCTATTGTTTAAACCACCCAGCCTGTGGTGCTTCTCTGTGGCAGCCCTAGCAAACTAATACAGTTCCTGTCACGAGAGCTTGCTACATTCCCTAGAGCTCAGAGTTCAGTGACAGTCAGTTACAGTGGCATGGCTCACCCACGCCATTTTAAGACTGTCAATGACATCTGTTCAAATAAATTTATGTTCCCATCTCACTAGGCAGGAACGAAAATTCATGCATTAATATGTAGAGAATAAGTAGGAGGGAAACAAGAGTGAGACAGAGTTTAAGTACAGACATTTTATTCCCCTCATCCACTACTCCCAAAGATAAGATGTTCCCATGGGGAAATGCCCCCAAAGTGATCATCTCAGCTCTAGCACACCCCAGGAGCACCCCTCCCTTCCTACCCATCTGACCCAGAGAAAGCTTTAAGGGGGCCCAGGGAAGGGAGGTAGGGAAGTATGCCCAAGGACAGACAAGGAGAGTAAGATGATGTTCACAGGCAGGAGCCGGGGGAGGAGTGACACACAGAGGGTTGGGAGGGAAGGAAGAGCAGCAGGGCCCAGGAAAGGTTTTCCTTGGCTCTCCCTAACTCCACTCCCTTTCTTAACAGCCAAACCTAGGTGATGTGACAAGAAAAAAAAAGTTCAAAGATTAGGATAGTGAAAAATTGAGAGACTTTCCCGGCTCTTCATTCCTTTTTTTATACTTTCTTTCTCCAGTTCACTCTATTCCCCACCTCTGCCTCTTCCAAAATATCCTATATCATCAGTATTCCCACTGCCTATCAACCACCTATTTAGGGGCCAGAGAAAGATAAGGATGGGAAGTACATATGAACAAGGCTGACCCCTCATAACTCACTCTCACTGCATCATAAACTCATCAACCACTAACTTATATTTGTAAATTGTTTGTAGAAGATAAATTTTTAGGTTGTCTGCCAAGTCCAAATCCCCCTGCTCTGACTGCCCCTCCCACCGAGGGGAGTGGGCCTCTGGAGTATGTTTGACTTATTTGACCAGGGGAAGCCCCAGGCCCAAACTGGGCCAGTAAGTCTCTTTCCTAGGAGCCTGAACTAGACTAACTGCTCAATCGTTTTTGATTGCTGGTCAGTCTCTAGCGATGACAGGGAACATGAGATGTCTGTAGGTTTGAAGGCTGAGGATGCTGTTTTAAAGGCAGAAATTTTGTCCTACATACACACAGAGAAAGCAAAAAAAAAAAAAAAAAAGAGAAGAATGAAGGAGATGTATAGGTCATCAGAGACAACCTGCCCAAGAAAGTAATCTCAGATCCTATACAACATCCATTTCTTGGTTTTGGTCCCTTGGGTTCCTCATAAAAATTTATTTGTTTTTGTATAAACTGATATGTTTGTATTTGCAGCCAAAAGATAAAACAGTGATTTATAATTTACTAAGCACCTTCAGGTATGTTATCTCATTTGGGACTCACAATACCCTATAGAAATAAAGAGACCAGTTACGTTTACTCTTGTTTTGTATTATAGCTTAAGAAGTAGAGGCCCTTAGATATATATTGAGACTTGTCTTCTTGGTACCCCCTGCCACCACCGTTAAAGGACATCCAGGCTATCCAGAAGAGAGAAGAGAACCCAAGGAGAAGCTCTGTGAGATGAAACACATAGAGAGTGAGGCCACATGAAGGGAAACTGAGGCAATCCAGGCAAACTCCCAGGTGAATGGTGCCACAGGAATAATCCCAGCCAACAGAGGACAAGAGCAGAAAAGCTGCTTGGTCAACTCACTGAACGTAAGATGCCATATGTTATTGTTGTTTTAAGCCATTAGCTTTTGGGATGGCTTGTCACACAACAACAGATAAATGAGAGAGAGGTTAGATAGCTTCTCCTATATCTCAAAGATAATAAACAGAGCTTGTATCCAGGTCTCCTGACTAATTTCAGTGATTTATTCGCTGTTCTAAGATATGACTGAAAATGAAGAAAAATAACTCAAAAGTTTCACACGTCATTTAAATAATAGAAAACGAATTTTAGCTCAGAACACCCAACTGTGAAATTATCCTGTCAGCATGTAAATGAATTAAAAATATACGTATGTAAATGTGGACAGGTAGGAGAGTGTTATTAAAATACTGAGCATGATTACACAATGACTAAATGCTTTTCTTCTGGGTTGCAAGCATTTTTTTAAAACCTACCAAAGACAGAATACACAACAATGTTCACAGCAGTATTATTTCTAATAACTAAAAAAAAAGGAACAACTCAATCACCCAATGACAGGAAAAAGGACAAATCATGATATATCCATACAATAGTAAAAATAAGGAACCACAGTTTCATGCATCAACATGGATAAATTTCAAAAATATAAATAATAAAAAGTGAAAGAACACAAACACAGCTTAATATCATTTATATAAAATCCCCAAAACACAAGCCTTAGCAATATATTATATAGGAATACATATGTAATAAAAGCAATAATGAAAACCCAGGGAATAAGTACAAAATTCGAAATAGCAGGTTCCTTTAAAGGAAAAGAAACAGAAACACTTGGAGAAAGGTACAGAGAGGGCTCCAAAGACATTGGTCATATTTCATTTCTTAATCTGGGTAGCAGACCTGTTTGTGTATTATGCAACAACCTATACCATATATCTGCAATAAACAGCTTTTTGTATTTATAAAGTAGTTCATAATAAAAGCACACTTAAAAAAAGAAACTAGCAAAGGAAAATTAGATTGTCCTGCAATATGTGTTTCCTAATACACAAAAATCAAACTAGTTCCCAAATGCTCTATAATTTTATTTTAAAAGAATAAAAAAAGGACACACTACAGAGATATACTCTCCCAATTACACAGAAACAATGGCAAAGCTCCCTATAGTTCATAACTCATTAAAATTGTTACTAAGGGGAAAATATATTTAAATATAATGCTTAAAATACTTCATTTAGCCCTTTTCAGTTAGTTTTTGGGACCTGCCTATATAATATCTGCTGTATTTTCCCACAACAAAATTTCCTCTGTCCTTCAAAGTAAGGGCCTAATGAATTATCTAGACTTCCCATGAATTTGCCTGCCCTGGATAGGGGTCCCCAATAGGACCACACTGCAGACTAAAAGCCCTCCTCTTTCCTGGCCAGAGTTGATTGTATCAGGAAGGAACAGCTGACCCAAAGTCAACCAATCCTGGTCTGCCACCTGCCTACCTCTCCAGCTTTATTCCCACTACTCACTCCCTTAAATCAATGCACCTGCTATATCTTTCCTTCATGGCACCTGTCACAATTGTAAAATAATTACCTGTATATTTCAGTGATTACTCATTTATATTTGTCTCTCCTCCTAAACTATAAGATCCATGAGGGTAGAAACAAGTCAGTTTTTGCTCACTATTGTGTTCTCCCAACCAGCACAATTCCTGATACACAGTAGGCATTCAAGAAGATTTTTTTTTTTTAGTAAAAGGAAGAAAGGACTGTAATATTATGCCTCTTTTTCGCTAAAACTTTGTTTTTATTTCATTAAACTTATATGGAAATACACCCATTTTGAGCAGACCCAAAATTAAGACAAAAGAACAAAAGTCCTAACAGAATCTACATGTATCCTCATAGAGGAAAACTTCACAGAATGCCACATTAAATTTGACAAGTTTAAGGAGTTTATAGAAACATACCTGAATGAAGTTGAATTTTCCCAATAACACCTTCTACCAACCCCAAACAAATGGGATTCCAGGCAAGAAGAAGATCCGTAGCTAAAATAAAAGAAGCAGTCATGAGAAAACATTCCCCAGAAAACATATTAAAACAATATCTTTTTATTATTTTATTATTATTTTTTACATTACCCAGTTTCAAGAATAACACAGTATCTTTAGCAGTGTATTAAAAAATGATCAACAGCCCCCAAAAGCAGTATGAACATCCACAATTGCTTATATTGCCATAAAGCAATTTACGACAAGGCATTAAATCTGAGGCCTGAAGAAGACTTCTGATACAAGGACAGGTATGGGGAGAGAATTGACTTGCAGAAACTATGCCCAGATGGAGAAGTGGTACCTTGGCGCCCTACAGTGGAGGAAAGAGGCTGGTACACTACAAGGCAGCAAACTGAGGAATTATCCACACTCCTACAGCACAGAGCCAATCTCAGATCCAGAAAGGCGGCCTGGGACATTGCCATAAAGCCATCCACTTACTGTATCACACTCTGGAAAATATCTTTTCCTAAAGGTGCTTACATCAAGCAAAGAAACCATGGAAAGCCAAGGGCAAAAACAATAGACCCTATTTCCATTTATCAAGTGCCTTCTATGTGCCAGGCATCTCAATCAGGGTTCCTCACTGAGCCACAGACCAGACAGCGATTTGAGTGACTGTTTTCTCATTTCTGCCATACGAGAAATGAGATGGCACATAGCTGGTACCATTCTAGACACACAGGAAAAAAACATGGTCATTACACACGACAGATGCGTAAGGACAAGAGGGCTTAATTCTCTCGTGGAACTCAAGTTGCAAAAGGCTGTTATATACATGGTGATAAACATAACATTTGGGGTAGTTCAACAGCTGAAAAAGATTAGCAAGAATGAAAACAATATTTCTCTTGGCAGACAATTAAAGTTACAATTTAATTATTACCATTTAAATGTTATTTTAGTGAAACTTATACTCAATAAATAACTCAGGGGATAATTATACAATTAATAGTTTAGTCTCCAAATCCATTTGCGTTTTGACTATTGTATCTCGAATGTCTTTGTTATATTCAATGGGTGGCAAAACAACTTATTTGTTTTGATTGCAAGAATCAGGTATTTTTTTAAAAAATAAGGCTACTATATACATTAACATTTCTGATTTTGACAACTCTGAGTTAGGTATCAGGAGTCCCGTTTTACAGACAAGGAAATGGACTTAGAAAAGAAACATGGCCAAGTCATACATGAATCAGAAGACTATAATCAGTAGCCAAGCTACCTGGTTCACAGCCTGTGCTTTAAACCATCCTGTTACACTGCCTCCCTCAGAAACTATATGTGAAACTAAACCAATAAGAAAATAATTTTTAAATGACATGCATTATTATAAAAGCAGTACTGTAAAATTGGAAAAAAATATATATCACCCCATCTCACCACCCATAGATAGTATTTTCCTACATTACAGGTAATATGTTTGTATGCATACCAAACTGCAATAATATAAAAACAGCATTCTATAGTAATTTTTTTCTTCTAACATTTCATGAGTATTTTCTTCTTTGAAATATTCTTCAAAATTATAACTTCATGGTGGCACAATTTTCCACTTAAGTACTTCCTCAAAGAAAGCAGTTAAGTAATTTCTAGTCTTTCCCCTAATACAAAAACACTGTGATAAATGATGAACATTATGCAAACATTTTATTTGCCTCCCTAATTAATAGCTTTTGGACAGATTCCTAAGGAATGAAATGAGTAGGTCGAAACATTAAAAAAATATAAAGCTCTCAAATATTAGCAAATTACTTTTTACAAAGGTTATACTAAGTTAGATTTCTGGCAGAAGCATATGAAAATGCTTGTTTTAAAGTATTCTTGAGGGCCTAGCACTTTGGGAGGCTGAGGTGGGAGGATGGCTTGAGGTCAGGAGTTCAAGACTAGCCCTTAAGCAACATAGTGAGATCCCATCTCTACAAAAAACAGAAAAATTAGCCAGATGTGGTAGCACGTGGTCCCAACTACTAGGAAGGCCTAGGCAGGAGGATCCCTTAAGGCCAGGAGTTTAAGCTTACCGTGAGCTATAATCATGCAACTGCCCTCATGCCTAGGCAACAAAGACAGACCCTATCTCCAAAAAAAATATCATAAAAATTTAAAAAATAAACTATTCTTGCCAGCATTTAGAATTTCTTTTTCAATTTTGCCAAATGGATGGCCTCTATTTCCTAACATGATGTTTACTTTCTTTCTGTTGCTGGTAAGATTAAACACTTGATTATAAAACTGGCTTCTTATGTTTCTTCTATGATTTTCTTGTTCTTATCTTCTAACAATTTTTCTTTATAGTCCCTATTGACTCATGAGTTCTATTTGTATTAAGGACTTTAACATGTTTACAAATATTTTCAGTTTTTAATTTTTATACAAATTTAGCATTTTCATTAACTTTAGGCTTAAAAAGTTATTCCTTACTTAATATCAATTACTTATTTAGTGATTTTATCTCTTTGTTAATTTTTAAATATTTAACTCCAACTCTTTTGGAATAAAGACATTCTGATTTATTTCCAAACAGTGATCTAGGATCCCTCTATTGGGCAGGCCACTTCTCAACATCTGGCAATGCAGATGCCCCTGCTAAGGAAAGAGCTCTAGCTATCCATAATCCTGCCAGCCTGACCTCAGACAAATGGACCACAGTTGTAAGACTCTGTATGCCAGTCTGTGGGTACCAAATCAGCTTTAGGAATAGGGAGAAGGAGGAACAGGAAGAAGTTAGAGCTAATGTAGTCCTCAGGGAGAGAAGTGAAAGAGGGAGAGAATGTAGTCCTCAGGGAGAGAAGTGAAAGAGGGAGAGAATGTAGTCATCAGGGAGAGAAGTGAAAGAGGGAGAGAATGTAGTCCTCAGGGAGAGAAGTGAAAGAGGGAGAGAATGTAGTCCTCAGGGAGAGAAGTGAAAGAGGGAGAGAATGTAGTCATCAGGGAGAGAAGTGAAGAAGTGAAACTTCATGCATAGGGAAAGCAGCAATAATACAGAGAAAAGAAAGTACAAGATTTGGTCTGGAATTTGTCCTATTGCTGGAGACCAACACATATCAGAACCAGGCACTGTATGAGGTTAAGATGACACAAAATAAAGGAGCAAACAGTCTAGATAACCGAGGACCAGCAAGTACACTGGGGATTTGAATTGAAAAGCAAACTGAGGACACTGGTACTTTGAGACGGGAGCCTGCCAACCTCCTCATTTGCTGGCAAATTAGTAAACTCTTCTTTCCTTCTCAAATCACTTGTCCTCATTCTTCTGATGTGGCCTCAGGGACAAGTGCCGAACCTCGGTAACAGAATTTGGTGTCCCTGGGTAGGTGGCCTCTCAGGTGGATCAGCATCCTGACTGCTGGAGGAAGCACGGAGCAGCCCCAGGACAAGTTGTGGGTCTTCACTGGAAGGAGCAGCTTCTTTTCAAGCTGAGAGAGCAAGGGATGGCCCCAGCAGTTGCGGGAGCCTGTTTTAACTCCAGGGAACTCCCGCCTCTTTCTAAAGTAGACGTAGTTCTCCACAACCTGAACTGACTTGAGAAGGAAACAGATTTGGGAAGCATCGTGATAGCCACAGCCATTCGTAAGCGAAGTTCCTCGGGATGCCTAGACCCTGTTTCCACCCATATGGGTGGAGGGGGTTTCATACCACCCTGTTGGATTTGTTTTGAGATGCTAGTTTGGGGGTGGAAGAGGTTGAGTGGAACTAGAGAACCTGATTAGAATTTGGAACTTTTTTTTTATTTTAGCGTATTATGGGGGTACAAGTGTTAAGGTTACATATATTGCCCATGGCCCCCTCCCCCTCGAGTAAGAGCTTCAAGCGTGACCATCCCCCAAATGTTGCACATCTTACTCGTTATGGTTGTACATACCCATCCCCTCCTCCCCACTCCCACCCTCCTGACACCCGATAAATGTTACTCCTATATGTCCACTTAGGTGTTGATTCGTTAATACCAATTTGCTGGTGAGTACATGTGATGCTGGTTTTTCCATTCTTAAGATACTTCACTTAGTAGAATGGGTTCCAGCTCTATCCAGGAATATACAAGAGGTGCTATATCACCTCTTGTGAATCACCTAAGAAACCATTGTTTCTTAAAGCTGAGTAGTTGAATTTGGAACTTATTTGCAGTGGTTCCCAAGGAACCAGGGAGATTGGGGGATGTTGGTTCTCATTTGAGAATTTGGTTCTCGTTTGGAACACTTCCCCTCTGGTCGGCCTCGGCATTTTGTGTTGAGAATTCTCTGTATTTGTTTTTGTGAGTTTTGTTGCAACATCAGGAAGCAAAGTCCCTTGGGAAAATAAATGCTGGATGCCAATGTACGCACTGGAGTGTGAGGAGAAGTGGCTGTTAAATGAAAATTCCCATTTGATCGGTAGGCCATGGCATTTTAGATTGTGTTGGGAATTCCCTATATTGTTAGTGTTTGTTTGTAAGTTTCTGTACTGCTTGTCTGGTGAGTTTTTGTATTGTGATACCACTTGTATGGAGTGTGAGAAAAAGTGGTGATTGATGGTCCTTGGTTTATTCTGAGCTATTGGTTCTTTTCCCAGGAATTTGGTGTTTGAATCCTAATTTAGATTTGGAGGTACATTCTAAAGGGTCTCCCCCATTGCTTCTTCCTCCCAAAAGTTAATTTCAATGAGCTGTTCTGTGCTTTTGCAAAAGAGGAAACCAAACTGCCTTGTTTGTAGATAAATAATAATAGCCTGAGTTACACGTAAGAGGGTGGGAACGACTCAGTGGTGAAACACTGTAGAGTCCCACCCGCAATCAACAGGCTGTGACCCACTACACTAAACCCTAGACCACAGCCCAGTTGCTTCTCTTAAAGAAAAGGAAACAAACCCTTTAAAAATAAGGAAAAACGGCCGGGCGCGGTGGCTCACGCCTGTAATCCTAGCACTCTGGAAGGCCGAGGCGGGGGAATTTCTCGAGGTCAGGAGTTCGAGACAAGCCTGAGCAAGAGCAAGACCCCATCTCTACTATAAATAGAAAG